CTACCTATGCCTTGCACTAGTTTGCCTTGAGGGAAGCCTTAGGAGGTTGTTTTTGTGTTCTTATAGTGTATATGTTATATATGTTGAGTTTGCATGGTAAATGACTCTATATGATGTTACTTTCACTTATGAGCATGTTCTTGGTCTATATTGCTAAAGTATGATGATGGTTACTTTTGATGCTATGTTAAGTGATGTTAGGCATTGCTTATGGTCCTTTGTTTGGTTTGCTTTCTCAAGTGACATTATGGGGTTTTTATTGGTCATTGCTCTTGTATACTTGATAAAGGCTTATAGGTAAGAGTCTAGTATATGTTGAAAGATTACGAAGTTCTTATATATGCCTTGTGGTTATAATATGATATTGAAGTTATTTGGTTATACATATGTTGACTTGACTTAATATTGTTGGTCTTATGTTGATAATGCTATTTTCTTGAGGATGGTGTGCTTATTGGTTAACATAGTTTCCTATTTATGAATAAAGGAGCTTTTACAGTGAGTTAGCATGCCTTTATAAAATTGTCCCTTTTAGCATGATTTAAATGTATATGTGCTTGTGTTTCTATACTTAGTACAAGTGATGTGCTAAACCCTATTTTCTACCTTTTCCCCAACATTTTCGATTCCAGTCGTTGAAGGGTTCGTGACCAATTGGCAAGAAGGCTTGGATCATTCTTCCAAGTGTGGGCATGTCTTCAAGTTCTGAGGATGATGCCTTTTCTCACTCTAGCTATGTTGCATTGTTATAGTCTAATGACTATCATTTCATTCCTATCGTTTTGTGAATACTGTCGTTTGTGTAAGGGATATGGGCATGATTGTTCTATTTCGTTTAGATGGTTTAATATGAGACATACCTTTTAAGACTATATTATTTATCTTATATATATATGTGTGACATAAAAGTAGAAGACTATGTAATCTTCTTATACGAATGGTCTAAGTAAACTCGATATGAATATATTATGTGTAAGAGAGAGGCATATGTAAACTTCATGATAGATGTAGATGAAATTTTTTAAATTTTCCACACTTTTCACCTATGAATGTAATGATGAATGCTAAGAGGATAGTCCCAGTCCTCTCCGAGGATGACATCGCGGGTTACGACTAGGAGGTTCTACCTGGATATGAAACATTAAATGTCTAATATTGAATTGAATATACAAGAATGAATGAGTGTCTTACCATCCATCCAAAACAATCCATAGAAATAGCTCATAAATTCTATAGGTGAGAATGAACTTTGAACCTAGTAATCATCATATAGTGAGAAAAACTTTTACATCAAGATCATTATGTGTTTATGAGGATGAACTTTCACTTAACACAATAACTAGATTATAATCATGTTCATAAAACATGCATACACGAAACACACAATTTGGCATAATTCCCATATATTACCCTTCCTCGATCAAGTATCACATTCTCATAGACAATTTAGGGTTACTACATTCATCATGGATAAGAATATGATCAAAAGAACTAGATAAAAACAAGTACAATTCCATACAATTGACCTTACTACAATTCAACCACATCACAAAGTCATAAATTAGGGTTATGGGAATCTCATGAATTCATGAGATATTTTACCATAAAACCAACATAAAACAACAATTCAATCATAGGATACTAAATAAATCATTGAAAACATTTTTGGAAAGAATCCATGACTTGGAGTGAAAACCCTAGGTTTTGGAGAATTTTCTAATTTGTAATGGGAAGTTTGAGGACTCCATGGATGAAAGTATTCCATGAATTATAGAGTACCATATTTTAAGTGTAGAAATCTAACAAATTTGTAAGAGAAATCCCCCTTATTGAATCCCTAACTTGATCTCTTCTTGTTGTTCTATGGAGATTTTAGAGAGAAGATTTTGGAGAGGTTTGATTTTGATATGGGTTGTTTATATTTTTATGAAGTGTTTGTAGTTAGTTAATTACTCAAAAGTATTATATGCCTATTTAAGCCATATAAAATGACCCTACATTAAACTGACTTAATTAGGATTTAACCTAAATTCCCCTATATTTGGCTGAATTAGTAAACATGACAAGTCTGGCCCACGACCAAGGACCTACAGTCCGTGTATGGACCTACTGGCTACCTTGAAGGTCTGTATGTCCATGACCTGCAACCCATTTTATAGGTCTTGACCCACGACCCCCATCTACGAGGCATAAGTGAACCTATAGGTTGTAGGTGCCCTCGTGGTTCACTGCCCATGTTACTTTTTTGGACTTCTCCTCAAGGACCCATGGTTGGTACTTGGAATTTAGGCCCTTTGAAATTCTAACCAAAAACATGAATTTTATGGTACAAGGAGTTTTTTTGTTGCACTTCAAAAATTCAATGACTTAGACTAGAGCCTCACTTAATGAATAATGGTTAAAATGGTATTTCCAGACCTATACTAATATATATATATATATATATATATATATATATATATTGATTTAGAAGTATTAGATTCTAAATGTCAAGGGGCGACCATAACGTTCGGAAACTAGTAAAATTGAACTAGCAGACGTCCTTAGGTCTTGTGAAGGTCTGGGAGTGTCGTATGAAGGCTAATACTTATAAAAATACTTTAAGTAGGAAAAAATTATTTTTAAGACCAAAAAGTCCATGTGCGACCCCCCAAGGACCACCTTAGGGGTCCTTGAGGAGGACCCAACCATTGGCCAACAAGCTGCCAATGTAACAAGCAATTGTGTATGGAAGAAACAAGTCCACGTCGCGGAATACGTTTACCATGGGCCGAAGTGTTGGTCCACGTCGTAGAATCTACTGTCTCTGGATTTAATTTTTGGAAATGTTGTGGGAACATCTCCGCGATGCGGACTTGTTCTGCAATGGAAACTCAAAAAATTAAAGATAAGTTTGGCTTCATTAAATGGTCCAACCAAGTGAGGGGTGTTTTGGTAATTTTAGGGGATGGGTATACATTGATTTTAAGTCATTTTTTATCATTTTTACCAATCCAAATCAAATACCTAAATTGAAAACCCAATTGTTCTCACCTCTCTCTAAAATTCTCTCTTTACCCAACCTGTATTGAAGACCACTTAATCTTCAAGAAGAAGATCAAGTCTGCAAGTTTTCGACTCAAATTCGTGTCTAAAGTCTTCATTAGCATATGGATTATTTCATTCATGCGAATTCTTTCCCCAAGAGGTACATTCAAAGATGATTTCAGATCTACCAAAATCAAGGGTTTTTCTCTACACATGGGTCTTCTATTAAAACTGAAATTGTGGATCAATTATAATTAATTATTATTATTTAGGACTATTTAAGTGTATAATGAATGTTAATTTTTGTGTTTCACTTGAATTTACCTTGGACCCATGTTCTCTCCCAATTTCATTAATCTTGGATGTTGGTTAATGAATTGGTTGAAGTTGATGAATGTATCCATTGTTATATTGGTGTTAATTATGTTATTACTTCATGGACTGCCTATTATCATGTATTGTTTGGGTTTTGATATAATTCTTGAAGAACCCATGAATGTACCTCTTCTCCTAGCCGTAACTCTTAAATTATGTGAATTGATGGCTTTAAGTGAGGTACTTAAGTGTGTTCTTGTATAATTGATTATTGCATGATTATGGTAATAGGTTTGATGGGTTTATATATCATGTATTTGGGATGAAGTCCTAAATGGGTTTCATGGAGGCCATTGGTAAGATCTTTAAGGTCATGAACATTCTATTGTAGTGTTGTTGGTCTATCTTTGGGAATGTTGTTTAATTGAAGTATGATTGATGAAGTCATGAATTTATGATCATGCTATGCACATGATAGTTGTGAGATGATGATAGGTGTACTATTATGAGAGATTGAAGGTAATTGTTATATGCATCTTATGACTATGTTATGAATTAATGATCTCACATGTTGTTGGTTTTGATGAAAGGACATCCTCATCATATAACCTATGAGCTATGTACATGTTATATAAGGGGTTAATTCCCTAGGGCCTATCTCATGAACTAATGTTTAAAAAAGACTTAAAGGTTCTTTAAAAAGGGAATTTAGCTTAGCACAGAGGGAACTGGACAATGAGATGAGGTGTTCCTTCACAAAGGAAGGGAGTTTCACACTATGTTCTCTCATGAGTTGGAAACTACAATTCTAATTAGAATAAAAAAGGGTTTCTAGTAACAACCTCCTAGTTCCTTAACTATGTGCCTCCATAGGAAACCTAGCTAGTGGATCCACATATATGCTAATGTATATATCCTACCTTTTAAAGTAGGATGCCTTCTTTCAGTGTGAGGGGTTGACACCAGATTCCATGTTAGCTCATATGGTCTAATGTCGGTTATGGAGAAGTTTCCCGAAAGTAAAATGAATGAATCAAATGAAGAATATGAACACTAACTAGGATTACTTAGGAAGTGTCACTTAGTGTAGGTAAGGGTATGAGACTTTACCTATATATTGCATAAGTAGACCTTGAGGGGAGTTATAGGGTGGAATCCTTATGTTTATATTATATGTATGATGTTGGTCTCATATGCTATGTATGATGTTGGTTTCACTTGATATACATAATGTTGGTTTAAATTGTTATGTACTATGTTGGCGTGTATGATAATGTATGAGGCAAATGCAATGTTTATGGTCTCTTTGCTAGTTTACTTGGTTTATGTGGGATTATGAGGCTTCACATACACATTGCACTAGTAGACTTGAATTGGGGTTTTGAGTAATGCCTTGTAATGTATTGATGAAGTGGACTCAAAACATGAAATTTTGATTATGTCTTTGTTATGATGTTACTCTTGAACATGAATATGAATGTGTCTTATTATTGTGGTGATATGGACTTGTATATGGTTCCTGAATGTGCATAAAGTCTTTTGAAGTGAACTTAGCATGCTTAACAACAAAATGTCCTTTTGTGCATGTTTTCCATACTTAGTACATGTGGTTTGTACTTTGTAGTAACCATATCTCTTTTATTTCTACATAAATGTAGGTTCGGGCTATTGAAGTGATTTATGGACAATTTCGTAGAGAAGCTTGGATTGTTTCTTAAGTTGGTGACCGAGGACAAAAGCCTATGAATCTAGCTTTAGTTGTTTTGTTATATTGAAAGACATTGTTCTATTTTTTCTATTTCAAGAACTATGTCGTATTCATTTTGTTAGAGTTGTATTGATGTAAGGGCTAAGTCTCAACTTTTATGTACTCTTATATATATTTTAAATGATGACGTGAGATAATGTAGTCTATTTTCGATATGTGAAGTGAAGTTGACTTCACATGTAAAGTTTTGATTTTTCCGTTTTTTATTCTATATGTGATGCGATGTATGCTAAGGCTTGTCTAAGACCTCTTTGAGGATGAAGATGCCGGTTACGGCTAGGAGGTGCTCTTTGGTCGTGATTATTTTCTAGGCTTTAACCCTAACTTTAAGCTTTAGCTAAGCCTATTAGTTTTGTGTTAGACTTTTCTGAAATGTTTCATCACCGCTGAAGCTACTAAATATGGACCAATAGTTGATTTAAGCGTGATCGAGATGCTGAGTACCTTAACCTACATAATGAAAGGATGTAGCGAAGAGTAGCATATTAGGTGATATCACTTGCTAGATCTTATGGGGCAATTATAGTTTATGTAACTTGGAGGTATATATGAAAACATCAATCTATGCCCGTTGGGCTATGAGGCTAACCACCTCGTGAGGACTATGGTGAACCCTACCTTCCCACATTGGGGAGGTGTCACCCCTCATCTTTAAGTTCACCCGATGCTAATCTAAGTTCACTTTATTGAAAAACGAGTATTATCATTACTTTATAAAATATAGGCTTAGGAGAGTTAACACCTCATACACTTAGTTCATAGGTTATAGATAAGATCTCATCAGCCTAAGTCATGTGAGAAAACCTTTCACATGGGTATAGCATATTTAAGCACCATCTAGTTTAGGGTACTCTTGGAACTCCTTCCAAGCGCCCCTCTATTGACTAGATCATCATACATATATGTATATACATATATGTGAGCAATACTTTCACATAGACACATTAAGGCCAGACATGTTCATACATTAATGCATAAGTGTTTTTATGATAAATCCTTTAATGTAAACACATTAAGACACTACGAACATTCATAACATAACCATGCATTCATGTTCATGTACAAAGATCACAAATGTAGGAACTCTCCTGTCAAGGCACAAATGTGCAATGCATAGACAATGCCGCATACCATTTCCCATACTAGTACACCTATCAAGTAGTCCTAGTTAAGGGAATACATAAATTGCTTCATAGACATATAATTTACATGCATAATAGTAGACATTAGTGAATATGAGAACACCCTTTTATTAGACACCATTAACTTATACTACTTCTAAGCATGCATGACGTGTGAGTGTGTGTGTACATTGGTAAATATGATCACCTAATGGCTATCAACAACACATTGAGGCAGCCACCCCTTAAGACTATAATGCACCTTCGTACATAGACCACACATCACAATTTAGCATAGTAGACAAACTAACTTCACATTACACTTAAGACTCCTTACATTCTCTATTCACATATTCACATAGAGGTACATATGTAGGGTTCATTAATCATTATTACTTCTTCAATGGAAGAACCTCAACATAACCCTATCATAGTGATTCACAAGCTTATACATGAACAACACAACCTAGATCACAACTAGAATAGAATACTAGGCATGCTTCACATTTGGTGATCATCACCCCCACACTTTCATAACTCAATTGCCTTAAAGGCCATGATCACATCACATATATAATGACAATAAAGTAAACACCACCACCATAAGTGGACCATATACAAGGCTACATCAGCTAGCAATTCTATAAAAAAGAAGAGGAAAAGAACAATCTTACCAAACTCCTTTGCTTTGATCATCAATGACCAATACTCACATTTTTTTCTCAATAAAATCAATATAGGGCAGTACATAAATACAACATAACATAAACTAGATCACACTTCAATTTCCGCAGAATCGAGATCATGACAATTACTCGACATTAACAATCACTAGAGAATGGAATAACATAGGTCAAACTTCAAACCTTGATCCACATAATTTACCATTACATTACATAATAGGCAGTATTTAAAGTACACTAATAATATACAAGATCATGATTCAATCATCATAGAATAAAGGCCATATCATGTACACTACTTCATTAAACTATAGAAGATATAGGAGTATAGGTCAACCTTACCGAACATCCTAGCCTTTATCAAAATTGATCACTAATAAATAATTCACCATCAATATGAATACAAAAAAGTATCAATAGACAATAACATGTTAGAATAATAATTCACTTAACATAGAATCAAGATCACAATTTTCCCACAAGGCTAAATCGATATTTTTGATGGGAACATGAGCTCATCATGCAATTTCATTGAAATTAACTTTATATTCAATACACTATAAATCAATTTATCAGAGGAAAGCCTTTGAAAATGTTTTGAGAAAGAACCCATGACTAGATTGGAAGATTGGAGGTTTGATCATGAACTTTCATTGAAGACATTGGAAGGAACTCCTTAGAAGAAAGGTTGACTATGGATGAAGGATCACCATACCTTTATAAGATGAAGAGACCACGAAAACTTGGTGAAGAAACCTTGAGAATCTATTAGCATGGCTGTTATTAAGCTTCATCTCCAATGGAGGTTTCTAGAGGGGGTATTTTGGAGGGAAGTCTAATTTTGAATCATAGATTGGGAATGGGGTTTTCACGTTATGAACAAACATCATATACTTAAAATAAAAAATAAACCGCCTAGGGTCAGGTTATGATGTGGGGTGAATTTCCCATTCACCCCTTAATGAGACAACGTGCAGGCAGTGAAGTTGCAGGCTGCATCGACGGGAGCAGTCAACGGGCCATCGTCTGGTCGACGAGCCATCCTGTTGCTCTGTCATTTTTGATGTAAACTCTTTAATGGGGGATGATCTCACACTTCTAAGTGTTGATCGATGCCTACCATCGACGGGCGTCAATTGAAGAACGGGGCGTCAACTTGGCTCCTCGTTTTACACTGCCAAGGCAGTGTCTCGTTAACCTTTAGGTCCTCCTTGAAGGCCTCTTGCGGGGCCTTTGGGGATTCGTTCTCAAATTTTTCCAACGTTAATACAAACCTTAATATGTTAAAGACCTTCCATACCAATTTGAGAATCAAACAACACTCACAACACATCCAAAAAATATAGATACATTCAAGTCACACATACATGTCTCAAGTGCTAACTTTCGAACGTCTTGGCCGTTTAATCTCCGAATTTCATGAAAGTTAACACACTACATATAAAAATAATTGTTAATCATATAAGGATTTCAAAATATCATGACACACACATAAGCACATAAATTACTTAAGTCCCCTTGGTCACTAGTCGTCGAACATCTTGGTTGTCCCGTGTTGTTTATCTTCCAAATCACCTAAATCTTTAGACACTGTCTTATTACAAACTTATAACCCATTTTAGGACTTCAAAACATCAAGACACAAACGTTAGGCTCTAGACACCTTAACTTTTTTTTTTTGGGGGGGGGGGATCTTACAATGGGCCTTGATTGTGACCCCTTAACTTGCGATATTGATGTGTTGTGTGTCTATTTTTTCAAATAAAACACTACTCATGCCCAAATTTGTTTAATATTTACATCTTTAATCTCTTAAGATGCGAGTGTTAAAATTGGGTGAGTTCAACTCCTATGCATCTAAGAAGTTTGAGGCTCTATGTTGGAGTTGGGAAGTGCCAGGAATTGCTCATTTGAGGTAAATTACGCCCTGAGCAAGCTTCCCCGCCTCTTTTTTTTTTTATCTATAATGGTGAACTATTGGATAAGTTATTGTGTTTTGAGCCCTGAATTGTAACCAGTTTTAGGATATAAGTTTTACCTTTTGACAAAGTTAATTTCAAGTTTCTGATATGCGTCACATATACATTATTTAACTTATTTTTTTTCGCTTCTTGTTATTGTGATTTTATTGTCAATATATATGTATTGACATTGTGATTCTATTTTATTAGTGTGACAACATTAAGAGATCACTTGAAAGGGATAACCTCCATAACCTTGAAATTGGAGCTTGCGTAATTTTCTTTAAAGTAGGCTCTTCTTGAGAACGTGAATTTATGACTATTAGTTTGAATTAGCTAGTTTATCATGCTTAGTTAGTCAGAAATCATGGTTTGGGATTTGATTTGATTTTTAGGGCTGTTTGCGATCATTCATATCTTCTGGCATGTGTTGTGATTTATATGGTTGCTATTCGAAGCATTTGTGGACTTAGTTTAGGTAAAGACTAGTGCTATCTTGTTCCATAGGCGATATGACATAATTTTTCTCCGACGCTGCTTCATACTTTTAGCTACCTCTAGACTAATCTAGAAGACTTAGGCCTAATAGAAAGAGCCTTAGTTAGATAGGTAACTCATTTTTGATGACCTTCTATCCATAAATCCTCATTATGACCCTAGTGATTCATAATTAAGATATTATTCATCCTTCGAAGACTTGGGACATAATTTTGTTAAAGTTAGAAGTATTATATTTATCACCTCATAGTGGACTTCATCACACAGTGGTTCAATGCTGATGATTTTAAATGGGATTCTTAATCAACTCATTTGGTCGCAGATTCGAGGTTTAGCCATGTTTCTTTGTTCTAGTTGGACAATCGATGTCTAGTCATGCTACCCTATTTCAGTAGAAAATTTGAGGTGTAGACATATGATCTTTAGATGCAGTCAACGATTCTGGACATTATCATTTACAGAGTTGATATATTTTGAATTGGTTTTCTTGGTTCATTTAGGAGGCTATCCATGGTTCAAGGTCCAATCTATGCATTTCTCAACTCTTGATTCACCCGATTCTATTCTTAGTAGATATAGTCATTATGTGTACCTATTGGGCTTATAAGGGCTTGTTCAGGTTTGTCTTCAAACTTGTGCACGAGTGTGCCTTTTGGGATTAAAGGGCCCAAAAGGGACCAATGAGGTTTCAGTTAGCTATTATTTGCTTTCATTTATATTTTTTTACACTCGTGAGCAATCCTGCTAGACTTCCACACTTTTGACATATCTTATAGTTTATTATTGCTTTTTCTATTGCCTTTAATTTTTTTCTATTTATCTCGGCCTATGATGCCCA